CTGCTAACCGTACCATGCTGCTAACAGAACCACTCTGCTAACAGAACCACTCTGCTAACAGGACCATGTTGCTAACAGTACCATGCTGGTAATTGGACCATGCTGCTAACAGAAACGCTCTGCTAACAGTAACATTGTTGTTATAACACTATTTTAATTTTAATTACTTTTTATTGCTGTATATTGTTGTCTGTCTAAAACAGGTCTCAGTGTGAGTTACTTGTTTGTTCTGATTCATCCACTTGCACCGTTGTATTCTATCATGTTGTTTACTATGTTTCTTTTGGACCTTGCAGATGTTGTATTCCTTTTCACTGTTGGTGCTTTGTTTTGTACTTTTGTTGCACGCTTTGGTATTTCTTGTTTTTTTTGATGAGTCGAGACGGTTCTTCTAGTCCTGAGCATTTCATTGTTGACCTTGTGTTGACCTACATATGACAAACAATAAACTAAACATTTCGGACAAATATGTCTGAAACCTTCACATTAAGGCTAAAACCTTTTTTAAGTTTCATGACTATAAATGCAGGTTTTTATCAACTTTTTTAACAATTGTTTTCTTTTCCATTAAGAGCCTTGGGGGCCGGGTGGCGATTGTCCAAGAGCCACTTTTGGCCCTCGGGTTAAATGTTGCTCACTTCTGCATCGATGTTTTGTTAAAAGCAAAAAAAAACACGTCGGTAAAGGCTTTTGAAAAGTATTTTGATATTTTTTGGGCTCAAATCTGGGAAGTTTTGCATTTACCCAAGTACTTAAATGAAAATACAACACTTTATTACTGTACAAAGGGTTGCTGTTGACTTTACAACCAGTTCTTGGTGACAAAACAAAGTAACCACTATCTGAAGAAGAAACAAGGCTCGACTTCTCCCTCCTGTTCTTTAACGTGTTACCTGGTGCAAACAGCTACTTTGTCCGGGTCGTGGATGAAGGGGCAGCTTGTGCCACGGTTACATTTGCCGAAGCGGTTGTAATACATGCAGTACTGCTTCTGCTGCTTTTTCTGGCGAGCGTGTCGGATGATGGCGATGCTCCTCTGGACCGCGCGGCTGTGGAGATGCAGACAAACCACAGATTTCCACAGTAAATTTTGACGTTTCAGGTAACTTTAGAGGAGAAACTCTGCAGGGTGGTTTCGGTTTCAGCTCTGATCCACGTGCGCGTTTCTGAGTAAAGGTGTTCAACATATACTAATTTTAAAGGATTACTTTTACAGTCCTTAGCTGAGGTGACGAAAGGCACTTAATACTGGGAGAGAGGATCAGATGAAAACTTCTTGGCTGGATTGTGTTTCATGAAGGTGCTGCAGTTGAAACAGCACCAGCAGGATGACCTACATATAACTGTTGATGACTAAAACTTTGAAGACTTGTGGTCGGGACTCGCTGAAGAACTGTTGGGAGGTGAAAGGGGCGGTGTGGACGTTACCTGGCGTGACGGCTCAAAACAGGAGACACGTGTGGGCCGGAGGACTTTCCTGAAAAGGAAGGAAAAAGACACTGAGCACAACTGAATCCACCAAGTCCTCAACAGATCCATCAAATAAATGAGTCTGTTTAAAATATAAGAATGATTTTTTTTATAAACTCACTCCAATCAGCTGGAAAACAAACATAAAATCCATAAAACTTGATTATTTTACTGCTTTGTATTAAAACCAGAGGCGTGGACCGATTCAAGTTGTGCATCTTGGACTTGAATCAAGTTTGTTTAAACTTTAGACTCAGCTTGATAAAACCACGCACGTCTGTTTGACATGGACTTGACTTTTTCAGGGGATTCTCACTGAGCTGAAATGTTTTGGGAGAATTGCTGAAAACTCAAAATTGCAAGAAAACTTGTGAATTTTTAGCGACCAAATGACGAGTGAGTCGTGTTTTAGAGGTACAGGTTGCACAATTTTATTCTCGTCTGTTGTTGTTTTGTTGTCCACCTCGGTTTGGCAACAGTCCACTTGATTACTTTTATTTTGAAGTACACTGAAGAAATAACGATATACAGTTTTTCATTAATTACTATTTATTATCGAGGCAGTTTTTAGACCTGGACATTCGTCTTGAATGATTTCTGTCAGAGGAGAGCGCTATGATGGTGTCAGAACAGGTCTTGCATTCTGAAGACGGGTTAGAGACGCCCACAACTTTGTGATTATTTTATGAGAAAAACTGTTGCTTAGTTTTGTAGAACATGTTTAAAACTCAACAAGGAGATTGTGGGTCTCTGCAACTGCTGAGGATGTTGAGAACCCAGCAAAAGCTACGAGACATTCTGGAGACATCCAGGAGACATTCTGGAGACATCCAAGAGATATTCTGAAGACATCCAGGAGACATTCAGGAGACATTCTGGAGACATCCAGGAGACATTCAGGAAACATCCAGGAGATATTCTGGAGATATCCAGGAGATTTTCTGAAGACATCCAGGAGACATTTTGGAGACATCCAGGAGACATTCTGAAGACATCCAGAAGATATTCTAGAGATATCCAGGAGAAATTCTGAAGGCATCCAGGAGACATTCTAGAGACATCCAGGAGACATTCTGGAGACATCCAGGAGATATTCTGAAGACATTCAAGAGACATTCCGAAGACATCCAGGAGATATTCTGGAGACATCCAGGAGATATTCTGAAGGCATCCAGAAGATATTCTAGAGATATCCAGGAGATATTCTCAAGACTTCCAGGAGACATTCTGAAGACATCCAGGAGGTATTCTGAAGGCATCCAGGAGATAATTTGGAGACAGCCAGGAGATATTCTGAAGACATCCAGGAGACATTTTGGAGACAGCCAGGAGATATTCTGAAGGCATCCAGGAGACATTCTGGAGACATCCAGGAGACATTCTGGAGACATCCAGGAGAAATTCTATAGCCATCCAGGAGACATTCTGGAGACATCCAGGAGACATTCTAGAGACATCCAGGAGACATTCTGGAGACATCCAGGAGAAATTCTGGAGCCATCCAGGAGACATTTTAGAGACGTTCTGGAGACATCCAGGAGACATTCTGGAGACATCCAGGAGAGATTGTCAACTAGTGGCAGTCTTGTGGAATACCACCATTTGACTTGAAAACACTTGATATCTTACTCAAAACAAAAAGTATCTACCATAATTTCTGGCCTATTGAGCGCATCTGAATATAAACCACACCCACTAAATTAAAAAAGATAAAACAAACTTGTACATATGTAGGTTGCACTCATCTATAAGCTACGGGTCATCACGCTGCCTTTCGAAACCCTTTGGTGATGGAGGATTATTGTTGCACTGCTTCACTGTCAGGATCCATCGGCAGACATGAGTAAAAGTTGCTCTTTTCATGAGACCAGTTTTGGTAAACGATTTCTCGCTGCTAGTCATCCAAGCCTCCCACAGAGTTCAGCATGCCATTTGAAATGCACGATTCACACTTATTTCAAGTGGCTGCAAATACTTTGTTGTGCCCCCCCGGGGGGGGGGGGGGGGGGGTATTTTTTTTTAACATTTGTTTACACAGGTAGTTTCACTGAGTCACGAGGACCCACCCACCAATAGAGACGTGTACTAGGCAGTTATGAGAGCATCTGAGTGTGACGAGGCTAAATGTTTTGGCGGCATGAAGCTCATTAGTCAGTCAATTAAAAAAAAAAAAAAAAATCCATAAATTAGCCGCAGCATTGTTTAAGCCGCAGTGTTCAAAGTGAGTGGAAAATAGTTGAAGATTATAGTCTAGAAATTACGGGAATTAAGGAAAAGGGCATCTCTAATACATTTCTTGAATCAAGATAGTTCACCTGCATCTTTAGGCCAAGAGAAACTCTTTTGAGGACAACAAAGTCAATGTTTTGAGGACAGTCTTTTGAGGACAGTAATGTGGACATTTTAAACAGGGTAGGCAGGTGATTAGAAAGCCATCCAAGTTAATGTGAACATGTGGCCAAAGCATCTCACACGTTAGGGAGCGTTCAACAAGACTTAACGACCCAAACGCCTCACCGCATGGAAGGTTGGGTCATTGACCCAACGACCCTACTTTTATGATCATTTTAACAACTTGTACGCCTGGAACTTCCAATCCAAACTCAAACTGAAGAAGTCCTTTGGATGTGATGGAAGGTCTTCAAGAACCAAGAGAGGTCCAGTTGTCTTCTGCTGAACATCTTAAGATGATCGTGGCCTGATTGACGGAGAGTCTACACCAACCGTACAAACTATGTAGACCAGCGGTGTCCAAATGTTTTCATAGATGGGCCAGAACTGTCCAAATGAAAGGACTTGTGTCCAGAAAAATGTGAATTTAAGAAAAGAAAAAAAAAATTAAAGCGTGATCCCCCCCACCCCCATTTTTAAACGCTCAACAACTTGAGCAATATTTTGGAGAAAGGTTAAAATGTTTAGTTTAAATTATTGCAGATTCAGAACATTAGGAGTCTCATAAACATTAACCAGGCAGCACGGTGGCACAACTGGTAGAGCTGCTGCCTCTCAGCAAGCAGGTCCCTGGTTCAAACCCCGGTCCAGGGCCCTTTCTGGGTGGAGTTTGCATGTTCTCTCCGTGCATGTGTGGGTTTTCTCCAGGTGCTCCAGTTTCCTCCCACAGACCAAAAACATGCATGTTAGGCTGATTGGTAACTCTAAATTGTCCCTAGTTGTGAGTGAGAGAGTGAATGGTTGTTTGTCTCGTTTGTCTCTATGTGTCCCTGTGATGGACTTGCGACCTGTCCAGGGTGTACCCCGCCCCTTGCACAGTGATTGCTGGACATGGGCACCGGCGATCCCCGTGACCCAAAATGGAAGAAGCGGGTAAAAGATAATGGATGGATGGATAAACATTAACCTTTTTTATTTTAAGAATTAAATTTATTAGATTTTTTGGGGCCTATTGTTCATTTTCTTGTGCTTGGAAAGAAAATTTTCAATTATTTTCGGAGACAAAAGCTTAAAATGAGTAACTTCTTTAAAAAAGGGGGTGGAGCTTCAAACACCTGTTTGGACCATGGACGGCCCAAAAGGGTCATAGAAGTTCTGAAAAACCGTCCATCTGGCAGTCGTTAAAACAGATTCATGGAAGGTTTGAAGGAACACTGATTAAGTTGATCAACTTGTATGTCGATGATACTTTATATTATTTTAAAAATGTCCAATTTCTCCCCATCGATTATTAACTCAACAGAAATTATTTTCTTTGAAAACACGTTATATTTAGCCAAGTTTTATGAATTATTATCCAAAACTACTTTTTGGTAGGTTTGTTGTAGGATAAAGGGATTAATTATAGCTGAATATTTGTATTGCACCTAATATCGCTCATTTTGAGAAGATTATTGTTTTGCTGTTAAAGCTAAAAATTTTAAAAGTATCACCGTTAAATCTAAAGAATCTGGGTCAAAATTATATAATTCTTTAATTGTAGTCATGGGTCACACAAAATCACTCCAAGGGCCGCAAATGGCCCTCGGGCCACACTTTCGGACACCCCAGATGTAGACTAAAGTAAAAAATGTCATCATGTAAAAAACAGTCTAAATCCTGAACGACGCTCAGTGAATAAAAACAATAAATTTCATCAGACTTTCAGGACCCCGCCTGACCACTTAAAAGTGCTTTTAGAGTATTCAGTTAATCCAGTTTACTGCTTGACAGTCACACTAGTACGAGTACATAAACTCCTCCAAACGGACCCATGCTGTGAAATGTTAGCACAATATTACAAGCATGTAGTTCTGCATGGTGATAAAGACACGGACGCACATTTAAAACCATCCCCAAGTATTTCTGTTTAATTTCATTTAAAAGACTGCCTTGTTTTCTCACTCCTGATGTTTAAAGTTTCATCTAAAATAAATTGTTATTTTTAAATTCTAACAATTCGCCTCAGATGTGACAGAGCTGAAGATGCATGTTTGTGCAGACAGATGCAACAAGAACTTGATATGTTGCAGGTTATTTATACGCGGTGGTTTGTCACGCTGGTGCCAAGGTGAATCGTGACGTCCGGCTCAGTCTGAGGACATCATAAATACTGCGAAGCCCCCCACGAGCACTGGTGGAGGGAAAGGTGTGCGAGGGTCTGTGGAGTTTATGAGGAAGGGTGGGCGAGAGGACAAGGAGGCGAGGAGGTTAGGACGGCCGTAGATCTTAATCAAACCTCTAAATTTGGAACTTTTATGGCTCTTGAGGCTCAAGCAGAGCTGGACGAGCATTGCAGGACGTGTAACCTCAGCTCCCACTGGAAGGAAACCCAATGTGCATTTCTGGAGGACGCAGAAACGCAGAGGAGGAGCGAGTTGGGATGCCGGTCACGGGTTTACCAGAACGCAGCTCTTCAATTTCACCTGAAGGCTTTGTTGCACTGGAATGTGTTAGGAGGGAGGCAGAGGAGTGGAGGAGGTAGATCTGGGCTTTAATCTGCACCATCCACTTCACCAGGACCTCCCCTTTGCCGCTCTGAGGGATGAGGACTTTATTATTTCAGATGGCAAATCCAGCCTGCTCCCCTCAGTTCCTCAGAAAGTGTGTGGCTACAGCTCCGGCCACAGACATGAATAAACTCCACCGCATCACCTCGGCGTGCGCGCAGACCGACTGCAGGCCTGAACGGTGCAGAGAACCAAACCCTGCAGGCGGGAGCTTCAATCCCAGCTGACGTTTGTCCAAAGCACCAAGCAAACAAAGCAAAACTGTAAATGCTGCCATGAAGCAACAGGTGAAGTTTGAGCTCTTACCGTCACGTCACGACTTAAAATGACTGGAGTCTTTACAGAAAAAGTCTAAAATGTAATAATGTGTCACTACTTTATGAGATTTTCTTTTATACAGATGTTCTAACGAGTGAGAAATAATTTGTGTCATAACTAGCAGCTTGTTTATTATATTTTTTTATTCTACACAACTATGCAGCACCTGTTCTTGATATTTAGTTATTATTTTTTTCCAGAAAAGTAAATCATGTTCTTCTGGCTGCTCCATTCAGGGGTCTCCACAGCCTCCATCCCTCCTCATCTCAGCATCCTCCCCTGCTAATCCTCCACTACATCCCGGAACATTCTCTGTGCTCTGCTTGTCCTCCATCTTCAACAAACGTTGTCTCGTATACTCACTGTCCCTCCTCTGCACATGTACGAACCGTCTCAGCCTCGCCTCTTTGACTTTATCTCCGAACAGCTGCCTCTCTGATAAGACTTAGTTCTTTTTGGTGTCTGAAGCTTTTAGTGCATTTAAAGTCTGTGCAACATTTTTGTATGAAAGATGCAATATAAATCAACATTTTCTCACAGTTTGGGAAGAGTTTTGTCCGCTAAACTGATCCGAGTCATTGAAAAACAAACATCAGCCGAGTCTTAACCTGAAACGTGTTCTCTTTCTATTACAGATTAAAAGATCAAATCGTTGCCTTCTTGTTCCTTGACACTTCAGAAGCTCTACAGGTATACAGCAGTGAAAAAAAATCCTGTCTTCATTCAGTTCCTTAAGTCTTTTTTTAACATTATGAACAAGAACAAATAAAAAGCCAGGTGATGCTGAACTTTTTCAGACATTTGGGAGGTTCTGTGTTGGTTCTGATGTGCTGGAACGATACAGAATCAGAATCGTGGCCCCAACTGCTCCAAATGGTAAAACTAAAGAAGAAAATCTCCACCAAAGCAAAAAATCAGTCACACGCTTTCTTTCTTTCTTTCTTTCTTTCCTTCTTTCCTTCCTTCCTTCTTTCCTTCCTTCCTTCTTTCCTTCCTTCCTTCCTTCTTTCCTTCTTTCCTTCTTTCCTTCTTTCCTTCTTTCCTTCCTTCCTTCCTTCCTTCCTTCCTTCCTTCCTTCCTTCCTTCCATCCATCCTTCCTTCCATCCTTCCTTCCATCCATCCATCCTTCCATCCATCCATCCATCCTTCCTTCCATCCATCCATCCATCCATCCATCCATCCATCCATCCATCCATCCATCCATCCATCCATCCATCCATCCATCCATCCATCCATCCATCCATCCCCTCTTGTTCCAAAGTCAGGTCTCGGGGGCAGCAGCTTGAGCAGGGAGGTCCAGACTTCGCTTTCCACATCCTCCTCTTCCAGCTCTTCTGGGAGGACTCCAAGGTGTTCCCAGACCAGCTGAGAGACATGGTCTCTCCAGCATGTCCTGAGTCTTCTCCGGAGTCTCCTCCCAGTCTGACATGCCCAAAACACCTTCCTAGGGAGGCGCACAGGGAACATCCTTACCAGATGCCCGAACCACCTCAACTGGCTCCTCTCGACATGGAGGAGCAGCGGTTCTACTCAAGAGTTTCTCCTGATAACTGAACTTGTCACCCTTTCTCTAAGGGAGAGTCCAGCTACCCTGCAGAGGAAACTCATTTCCTCCACCTGTATCCACGATCTCATTCTTTCAGTCTCTACCCAGAGTTCATGACCATAGATGAGGGTAGGAACGTAGACTGACCGGTAAACGGAGAGCTTTGCTTTACAGCTCCGCTCTCTCTTCACCACAACGGACCGGCACAGAGTCTGCAATATTGCAGACGCTGCATAAAATCAGTCTGTCAATCTCACGCTCCATTCTTCCCTCACTCGTGAACAAGACCCAGAGATACTTGAACTCCTCCACTGGAGGCAGAACCTCACCCCCGACCTGAAGAGAACAGTCCACCCTTTTACGACCGAGGAGCATGGCCTCAGATAAAAATAAAAATAAACATGATTACTAACACAACTGTTAAAAACGACCTCCATTTGACTGTTAGCTTATGCTGTTGAGGTCTGGCAACTTGAATTGCTCTTCTTTTGTTTTAAAGCACTTCCATACAGCAGACAAGTTGGCTCGTTACATCACAGCAGTCACAGCAACACGGCTGACGTAAACTGAGGACAGCAGGTCAAAGCTCAGAGCTGCGGTCTTGTTATCCTCATGTTGGGGGTTTGAGCCCAGGTTGTGTCAGGAAAGGCATCCAACGTACAACTTAATGTCAAATCTTTTACACAAGTTAACTCAATGTGCCGACCCATGCAGAAGGGAGCAGCCGAAACTAAAAACAACAACAAAAGTAGTAGGAATGACTTCAACTCTTGCACTTTTTTCTTGCACTTGCACATTTTTTCTGAATATTGTACTGTATTGTTGGTGTACATGTTTTCTTTTATCTTTTATATTTTATTCACACCTTTATGCCAAAGCAAGTTCCTAGTCTGTGAATCCTGCTCATTGACAATGGCAATAATAAACTGAATCTGAACTCCCCATTCTACAACTCTCCACCAAGTTTCATTGAATTTGCCTCAAAAAATTTGATGATCTTAGTTAACGGAGTCAAACGTGGTGCGTTGATTACACGCATGTACCTGTTCGGTTGATTGACATGTTTGCCGTCCTGGTGCGGGACAGTTTATTGGCTGACACTCTGTACAGGGACCCTCGAATCCAGCACATTCCACTTCCTGTCCAGCGCTGAGAAAATGACGGGTGCCTGTCGTGAGGAGACCTGAGGCGGTTCTGAAGGAAACTCCTGAGAGAAAACAATAAAAAACAAAGATCTGAAGGATGAGTGAGTGAATTGGTGAGTTAGAAAATTATCTCCTCATCCATCTTTTAATCCCACACCTCTTTCACCAGTCTTCCCCTCCAGCTCTTCCACCACATCGCCCCTTCTTTACTTTATGTTTCCCATCCTGTAGCCCCCCCTCCCCTTCCTCCCATGTCACAGCACTCTGTTAAATTGCTCCTCTAATGGAAAGGACGGCAGTGTGGAAATGGAGAGAATTGAAAAGAGGAGAGGAGGAAATCAATGAGATAATAGGCAGGGCAGGGGGCCAGAGCAGCGAGGTTGGCCCCTACGCCGGAGTGTAGAGACCACACACGCTCCTGCTGTACGTACACTGCACACAATCACAGGGGTCTGCACACGCATCCAGGAGGCACTCTGTGGGCGGCTGTATGTGCGCGGTGGCTGTACATGCAAGGCGGCTGCATGTGTGTGCGTGTGTGTGTGTGTGGGGGGGGGGGGGGGCAGAGGGGTGCAGGGGTTATGGCGATAAATTGCACTGTCCTGTCACTTCTATTTGGGGTGGATTGGGGCTCGTGTGCAGGGCGCTGCTGGAGGTAATTTGCTGCCGTATTTCAGATGGGCTGGAAATGGGTTTGGAGCGAGAGTTCATGCCTCCCATTACGGGGAAGAGAGAGGGTTACCCCTGAACGCACGCCGCGCTCAAAACAACCAATGCTTAACGCGCCAAGAGCTGCTGCACTGCTGCAAAGGAGAGGACGAAAATAAAACAACTGAGCGAATATCAGCCATCAGCTGCGTACGTGGACCACCTGAGTGTGAGCAATAACTCAGCTGCTCAGACACTCGGTTTCACCGATACAAGATCAGTGGCTGCCCTACATGGGGCAACGGCAGCCAGGGGAGCTGTAATGGGGGCTAATGTTGAAGCGCTGACTGTCACCCTGGGAGGCTTAAACAAGAACCGGACGGGCCCCACAACCACAATGGAGGTTAATGGGGATATGACATGAGCTGTTAACACAGACAGCAGTTAACCCTGACACGGGGCTGCAGTCAGGAGTGACCGAGGGTTTTAATGCACAGCACGTTAGAATGGTTATTCACTGAGTTTTAACCTCGGTGTGATTGGACAACGAACCTCGGTCACTTATGTTTCCCAGCATCCTCAGTTCGTCCATCAGGAACCGTAAAACGACACAATTCTTTATGATTTAGCATGTTCAACATATATTACAGCTCTTTAAATCAACTACCAATCATCTTCAGATGACACAAATGGCATGGTTCTATTGTACTGCTTGACTTTTTTTTTTTTACATCACACAGTATCCCACCCTCAACATGGATGGAGTCAGCTATTCATCTTTGCAGGGCTGTTCCACTGCAGTGACGCAGAGGCAGGACACAAAGTTCCCCCTCTGTGTGCAGAAAAGTCTTTATACTCTCAATTTATCAGTCACCTGAAGAACAGACGTTTTCGGCACATGGAAAATCAGGACATAATACGAGATGTACGGTTCTGACTTTTGATAATATTGTAATATAACATTTTGCCATAATTAATAAAATACTTGACAATCCTAAATGAAGATCTCAATATCTGTCCAGCTAAAAGTACGACATTCATGTGGAGAATGTTCCAGGTCGGTTTGTAACTCTACCAAATCAATCGTCTGTGGCTTTGGTCACTTCGTACCCAGATGTTTTGGGAGGCTCTTCAAGCTTGTCACCAAAATACATCTTTAGTTCTTCTTTTCTTCCTCTTTTGGCTTTTCCCTCTTCAGGGGTCACCACAGCGAGTCGTTCTCCTCCAGCTCACTCTATCCTCTGTCCTCACTCCAACTACCACCATGTCCTCTCTAACTGCATCCATATATCTCCTCTTTGCTGCATTTCTAACATCCTTCTACCAATATACCAACTGTCCCTCCTCTGGACATGTCCAAACCATCTCAGTGTGGCCTCTCTAACTTTATCTCCCAGTTTGTTCAACCTGTCCTGTACCTCTGATGATCTCATTCCTAATCTTATCCATCCTTGTCTCTCCTAAGGAGAACCTCAACATCTTCATTTCTGCCACTTCCAGTTCTGTCTCCTGTCTTTTTGTCCACGTCTCTGTCTCCAGACCATACAACATAGCTGGTCTCACCACTGTCTTGTAAACTTTTTCTTTGACCTTTGCTGACACCCTTTTGTCACAAATCACTCCTGAAACTTTTCTCCGTCCACTCCATCCTGCCTGGACTCTCTTCTTCACCTCTTTACCACACTCCCCATTTTCCTGGACAGTGGACCCCAAGTCCTTGAAGTCCTGCACCTTTGTGACCTCTGCTCCTTGGAGCCTCACTGTTCCACTGGCCTCCCTCTCATTCACACACATACTCTGTCTTACTACGACTGACTTTTATTTCTCTTCTTTCAAGTGCATACCTCCACCTCTTCAAGTTCTCTTCCACCTGTTCTCACCACAGATCACAACATCATCTACAAACATCATAGTCCATGGGGATTCCTTCAAATTGAATTCAGACGATGCTAAGCACAGGTCAGAACGACTCCATGCTCATTAAAAATGCATTCGCTCAGACCACCTTCGTAGGTGATTTGGTTTATCTAATGTAGCCCTAGAGAAGTAGCGGAGTTATTATTTGGACGTCTCAAAAAGGAAATGTTAGCTCAGCTATTAGCTGATTAAAAATAAACAAGAGGTACACTGATGTCCCCCATTGCTGAGCATCAGTGTAAAAGTTTGTAGTTTTTAAGATGAGTGTTTTTCTGGACTGGGATTGAACAGGAATGTAAGTAAACCTTGATGTTGTGGAACAAGATATTCAAGTGGGTAGGAGTTACGCTGTGGAGAAGAACAGATGGAAGTTTTTATTTTTGCTTGTCCAAGGCAGCGCAGAGTGACAGATCCTGATGAGCGGAGGGGGACATTTTATCCACCATCAGGCGCAATGAAGGCGCCAGGGGGTGATCAGTGGTGGCCTTGATCACCTAAATTGTTAGTCAGTGGATTTCCAGGATGCAATGTGGTGAGCTTTATCCTTTAGTTTATTAATTTTGATTACTTTTAAGAGCTGGTAGTTGAACTTGATTTCACTGTAAATATAGGCAGACCTCAGACTTGGACAGGAAGTTAAAGCCAGAACAGGACCACGTTCCCTGACTCCTGGTTCCAGTTCAGACTTCAAGTCGCCTCATTCCATCTAAATTAACAGAACATTACTCTTGTTAAAACAATAATTACACACCTCTGATTCAGATAGTTCTTATGTTGCTGCTGAATGTTCAAATAGTCAGTTTTCTCCCTCGCTGAGATGTAATTAAATGGAATGACATGTGACACCACGATTGTGCGCAGGGAGCAGGTAAGACTTAAAGCCCCACATACGTAGCGAGTTCGCAGACACTGGTCCCAAAAAATGGATCCTGCCAGTGAGAGAAGGCAGAAACACTTGGTCTATCAGTGCAATATGTGTATGGGTCAAGATGTGTGCTGCATCAACAGGACAACAGTGTTGTTGCTCCATATTTCCCCTGATAAGATACAGCACGGTGTTTTGCTCCGACACCGAGCTCTGTGAGGTCACTAATCACTGTTTGCACCTTCATTTTTATTACATTACGTCTGTTTGGTCGTTAAGCTCATCGGGATAACTCTAATGTGTCCCAAATGGCTCTGAACCGTGTTAATGTCAAAATAACATCATGGTTCAGATGTCTGAAAGTCATTTTTTACAGGAACATCATCAGACCTGCAGACCCTTGTTTACAATATGGTTATGGATACAACAGTGGACACAAGTGGAGATAAACTGCAGGGTCTATTCATTTATGTCTATTAATCCCTCTTTTTAAAAATCAGGCAAATCCAGTTGACATCACAACTCTCTTGGAGGGAGGCCCAGGCCTGAAGATGCAGGTTTTTGGACTGTGGGAGAAAACTGAAGTACCCCCAAAAAACATGGAAACTCCACACAGAAAGACCCTAGGCGTTGAACCCAAAACCTTATTGCTGAGGCAGCAGTACTAATCACTATCCATCATGCTACTAAACAACCCATATAGGTACAAAAAATAAAAAAAAACATTTGCCATAGGATTCTGTGTATCGTCTTTGCCCATATTGTACCCACCTCAGCCTGCTTATGCAATATTTGCAGCAGCCCCAACATCCAGTGTGTGATCTACCGGAGTACTCATTTCAACTGAAAGATGCAGTGCATGCAGGATTGAACACATGCACATGGGTACAAAATGACAAAGGTTTTATGCATGAATGAGAAGCTGTAATCGTTTTGTACCACAAAGATGCAAAATGCAAACTGCTGTGAAAACAATGGTATTGTGTGGGTACAAAATGACAATCAAAGTGAGGATTCAGTTTGGGAAGTCTTGAGCTTCATCTGACTATCAGCCAACTTTCCTGTTATGTGTTCGACGCTCCTAAAAAGAGGGACTGATTACCAACTCCACGAACAGGAAGGTTTTGTTCCAGGAGGTCAATTTAATATTTAAGTCTAGTCAAGTCAGATTTATTTATATAGCACATTTAAAACAGGACCTGTTACCAAAGTGCTTAACAAAAAGATCAAAGCATCTAATAAAAAATAACAAGATATAATTACAGCATCAGGAATAAAAACACAAAACATAGTCAGGAACAATCAAATCAACATAAACGCACAAACGCATTCAGAAACAGTATCAACGTTCATCACCAGCCCATCAGTTACCGAACTGCAAAACGACTGACGATAACATTGAGCCCCACTCTTACAAAAGTTATGAGTCCTGTTCATTATTAAATCCAGTTTTAGATGTTTGCACATAAATTATGTTGACTGTAAATACAAGAAACCTACACCTTCAAAAAAAAAAAACTTACAAAGTACGGCAAGAAATCAAAACATCACAAATTTATGTTGTTTTTATGGGAACCTCGAAAGACAAAAAGAAACGGAAATAAGCAGAGGATGTGAAGTTTAACATCTTTG